TCCTTCCGAGGAGTGGCTGGTGGGTTTGAACCGCCAGCCATCTGGTTAGCAGGCAAGTGTCTTAGCCACTATGCTACCAGAGCTCCCATATATCTAATAGGAATCTAATAATCAAAAAAATACATGAAATTTTGGCAACTGACCAACACAACAAAAATAACTCAATCAGAAAATAGGCAAAGGACTTGAATAGACATTTCACCAAAGGGGATATTCAATGGCCACTAGACAAATGAAAAGATGCTCAACAACATTACCGATTATAGAAATGCAAATCAAAACTACAATGAAATTATCATTTCACTTTCACTAGGATAGCTAAGATTAAAAAAATAAAAATAAAAACCCATAAACTAAAAAAAGAAAAATGTTGCAAGGATGTGGGGAAATTGGAACCCTTTTCTAGCACTGGTAGCAAAGGCAGAATGTTATACCCATTGTGGAAAGCAGTCTGGTAGTTCGTCAAAAAACAAAAAACTGAATAATACTTTAGCTTAACTAGTGAAAAAGGACTGCCTTGAGCATTATACTCTTTTAAGAACCATCCATGTGGGATCAAGTTGACAACAACAATTCAAAATACTATATAGAAAATTTAAGTTGCAGTGAATTTATGTTAAAGACTGAGTAACTCAGAAAACGGAGCTCTGGTGGTGTAATGCCAAGGGCATTTGACTGCTAACCAGAAGCCTGGAAGATCAAAACCACCAGCCCCTCCTCAGAAGGAAGGTTGGGCAATCTACTTCCATAGTGATAGTGCCTCGGAAACCCAAGGAATGGTCACTATGACTCGGATCTGAGTCAACGGCAGTGAGATTTTTTTTTTAACTTAGAAAAGGAGAGTTACCTTTACACAGACAGTACTGAGTTGTCAATGATGGCAAACATTGATCTACGGGCAGATATATGGCTAGACAGGCTGAACAATAAGGTATGTCATGTCTAGGCACGGGGCAGTGGGCCCAAGCATGTGTAAGGTTGGCAGATGATGTTTCTACAAGCATATTTGTATATTCTGTAAGAATGTCCAGGTATATAGCAGAGCTGACAAAGGAAAAGGTTGTAGTGACTTCTCGGGCACAGCCAGCTACCCAGAGGGAGCAAGTAGTTGGACCAGTGGGCTCGGGACCATAGTCGCAGGGGACATCAAGCTCAATTGGCATAACATACTACACAAAACATTTTTCTACCTCCTATTTTGGTGAGTAATGACTGAGATCTTAAAAGCTTGCAAGCATCCATCTAGATGCAAAAATGGGTCTCTCCTCATCCAGAGCAAGGAAGAATGAAGAAAACCAAAGATTCATGGAAACAATTAGTCCTAGAGACTGGTACACCATGCAACCCAAAGACTATACAACTATGAGATCAGAAGAACTAGATAGTGCCTGGCTACCTGCAGTGAACTGCTTGATGTGGCCCTTCTAGCCATTGTCCTCCATTCTGTGATGTTTTGTAAATCCTATTATCCATGCCTATTCGGGGTGGTGTGGTAGTTAAGGTCAGGTATCAACTTAGCTGGGCAGCTGGTAGTAGTCATTCCCTATAATGACTGCCAATGGACTCTGTGATGGGATTTAGGTTAATGCTGTTGGGGCAACACAGGTGGAATGTATCTTGAGTCCTGCCTTGCTGGAGGGTATAATTCAAAGCACCACCCTTAGCTTCCCTGAGGGTATACCTACGAATTTCCTGGGAAGATTCGCTCTCCTCTTGCTCCATCTTTGTGTCTTGGATCATCCTCATCTCACCCCTGGATTTGGGACAGCAGCCGTCATCTGATCTGCTGATCGAGGTTCATCAAACCCCGAGAGTTGGGAGGATCCGCCAGACCTACTCACGGACCCGGGACTCCCCAGCCTGCCAGACTTCACCACTACCACATGAGACGAACCCTTGGGTGTCTGTGAGTTCTGTGAGG